TGATCAGCCGTTAAGATGGTGTCCAACTTTCATACTTTGTTGATGCATCACATGCAGTTATGACTATTTATTAAGTGAATGAATGAATGAATGAACAAAAGAATGAATGCGAATAAGCCTATATGGGTTGTGAAAAGGTGTAGCAGAGTGTAGAGTAGTGGTTTTCAGATTTCTTCAGGTTAAATACCTATAACTCAGTAATGGAGAACCTTTTAGAGCTGTCAATGATACAAACAGCTCCTTGTGGCAGGCGTGCCATAGGTTCACCACCACTGCTCTAAGTCATGCAGCTTCTTAAAATGTGAATTTTTAAACCCGAATGATTATACATAGGGATCATTAAGAAACTGATACAACTGGTTGGCAGAAAGGTTGGGGTAGAGACTGGATGTTAGGATACAGGAGTGGGAGCAAGATTTTCCTATTACCTTATTACTCCTTTGTAATTCTAAATAATATGAATGTATTTAAATAAAAAAAATGAGGCAGCAAAATTAACATTGTTTATGGTGAATCAGATATTACCTTGATTTATATTTTGGTATAGTAAAGTAGTAGTAAAAACCAAATATTTAAAAAAGAGATGCAAGGGAGAAATGCTGTTTTTGTATATTTTGGAAATGCCTCTATCCGATTGTTTGATTCTGCAGATAGCACCTTGGTTTGGTGTTTGATTAGAGCACAGTTTAGGATTCATGACTTTTTCTGAGTGCTACTGGGGACTGAACCCAGGGCCTACACCCAGAGTTACATCATCAACTCCTTTTTATTTTTTATTTTGTAACAAGATCTCACCAAGTTGCTCAGGCTGGCCTTGAACTTGCAATCCTCCTGCATCAGTCTCTTGAGCAGCTAGGATTACAGGGCTGCCAATGTGCTAGGCAGGAATTCTGGCTCTTAAGTAAAGAGAATGTCGACAGTGAAAACTTTGCTTGGATATACATTAGATAATTTCACAATGATCTGAGTAGCACATTCTCTCCTATATACTCTGTAAAACCGTGAAAGGGGTTGGGTATGCAGCTCAGAATTGTGCTTCCTAGCACGGGGAGGCCCTGGGGTTGATTCCCAGCATTGCAAAACAGTAAAACATTAAAAGGACCATCACTGCAGTATTATGGATACTGTGATTTCATGAATCATTTTCCCTTTGTAAATTTAGCATCATGAATAAAAGAGAGAGATCATGAAGTATGCATATAAATGTTTATAGACTAAGGAGGTCAAGTCATGTGAGGGCTAATCAAGGACTTTTCCAGTGACTTTGTCTTGCCTCTGAACTACAACAAGGATCTATGACAAGGATCTCCACTATGGGCTTGGAATGAAATCCTCTTTCTGCTTCTGAGACACACACAGGTAAGCACTGACCATGAAGTTCTGTATTAGATGGTTCTTGGGACCAGATCTCTAAGATCCAGATGAATAAGGATTTGACATGTATACATATGTACAAAATTGTCATCTGTATAATTTTCACTCTTCAGTATTTTTCTTCACTTACTACATTGAAAGCCTTGTGAAGAAGGCTGCCCCTCAACATAGAAGTGAGGAAAGCAAAGCTGACAGGCTGAGTGATGTGACAGGTCATACTTGCTAAGTACTTCAAAGCCATGCCTTCTGATTCTTGGGCTATTCTTTCCTCCCTAAAACATCTGGTGACTTGAATTTGGAATGTCATTCTTCCTTCGGGTTTTGACTTGCTCTTTCTTTAAAACTTTGCTCACACTTCTTCCCTAGAAGGCCATTTTGGACAAAGCCCTGACAGTTTTTCTGGTACCAAACTTCCCAAGAATTTATTTCCAGTATCTATTTTCATGTGTGTGTGTGTGTGTGTGTGTGTGTGTGTGTGTGTTACTGGGAATCACATTTAGCTACATCCCCAGCCTCTCTTTTAAATTTGACAGAATCTCCCTAAGTTGGCCAGGCAGGACTCAAACTTGCTATCTTCCTGCATCAGCCTCATAGAGTCTTGAGATTATAGGCATGGGCCACCATGCCCAGTTCCAGTATCTATTTTTTTTTTTTTTTTTTTTGGTTTTTCTCCGGTACCGGGAACCGAACTCATGACCTTGTGCTTGCCAGACAGGCGCTTTGCCGCTGAGCTAAATCCCCAACCCCGAAACTATGCTTTCAAACTGCCATATGTGTAAGAATAACCTAGGGAGCTAGGTAAAAATAGATTCATTGCTGCTTTTCCCATAAGTTCGAATTCAACATAGCAGGATGAAGCCCAAGACTTTGCATTTTAATAAGCTCTTGGAGGATTCTGAAGCAGGTGTCCAATAACCACACCTTTGGAAATTTTGCTTTTGAAAGCTGAAAATCAGATTGTCCTATATGAGATATCTATCCTGTGCTCAGCAGGCAATACAGATGTGCTAAATACCTGAGTTCCTGATCTCTTGGTCTTTATAAATTTTTAGGAGAGAGATACTGCCTAAGGGCCCATGGACAGGAGACCTCACTATCTGGCCAGATTATCATGAACAGTTTCATAAAAGATAAACTGAGCTACATTTTGAAGAAAAAATAGAGTTCAACGAGCTAGCGGGGGAGGTTATTTCAAATGTTAGAACTGCAAAGGCAAAGTTCAAGGAAGCTTTGGGGTATCAGGAAGGAAAATGCTGCATCCAAACTGAAAGAAAAAAAAAGAAAAGACCAACGGAAAAAGGAGGGAGGGAGGGAGGGAGGAAGGTCGGAACTATGCAGACACTTGGTAGGATTTATACCTAGAAAGACAAATAGGCCTCAGGTTGAAGAAGCTGTGATTTGGGCTCTATTCTGTAGGCACTGGGTAGTTCTTCAAATGAGCAAGTAGGCCGAAAACATCCTTTGGAAAGGCTGATCTGGCAGTGACTCTGAAAGTCCTGCACCATCTTTGCGGCTTGGCTATGCAAACTGTCGGGAAGGGCTGTTTTTAAAGCTTTGTGAAAGTCGATTCAACAGGATTTGCAGTTTGACTGGATGAGAAAAACAAAGGGTCTACATGCCGCTGAGGTTCAGACCTTCTAAACTGGGATGATACAATCTGGATTACAAGTGTTTTAAGTATTAAGTACGTGTAAGTCTAGGATTCGATCTTGTAGCCAATGCTGGAATCTTCCGCTCATGTGCATCAATTCGCTTTGCTTAAATACAGCATTATTTTTATCGTGTCGAAAAGAAAAGGCCTTGCAGAAGAGGACTACCAACTTGGAACCAGCGCAAAGGCAGACTGTTCAGAGCATTTATGGTTTAAGTCTGGTTACAAGGGAAGCACTGACAAAAAATTTAAGATGAACAGTCCTGGTCCTTAAGAAGTTTAAAATCTACATTTACCCTCCAAGGAAGAGATTCCCAAGAGTAAATGGCAAGCTCTCAAATCCACAAATCCTTGATCACCAAATTACTATTTTGTACTCGTGTTGGAGCCCTTAAAGGCCTTCAGCAGAAGGGGTGAAAATTAGTTGGCTACTAAGCTAGGAATGAGAAACCTGTTTTTGGACGGCATGAACATGCAGGTCTCCAAGTAGTACCCGCTAGTCTGTTCAAGCCCTACGAGAGCTCAGCTCTCAGGGATCGCGGTGCCTAAACTACAAATTTGTCCCCGAACCATCAATCATGCGGTTTAGAGCCTTCGAGGCTCTAAGACCCGCCTGCGAGAGTAGCACCTCGCTCTGATTGGACGAGCTCATTTCCTCACTTAAACCCGAGGGTCCTTCGCCTGTCAATCACACTGCTCCCGGGCCCAACCCTTGCCCCGCCCCCTGTGACGTAACCGGTGGCGCTGGCGTTTTCGCGCTCTACCCCTCAAAGTCCCCACCCGTCGCTTCAGTTCCTCATTGGCCCGCAGAGACGAGGGAAGGGGAAGGACTCTCTATTTTGCTCTTTCAGCTGCCCCCTCTAGTTTTTCACTCTTCTCACAAGCTGTCAGGAGAGCAATTATAGCCCGGAGCTGTGCGCAGGCGTGCAGAAGGACCCGCTGGTGGAGGGGCAATGAATCCTCCCGGGAGAATTCATTACACGGTTGTGACGCAGATAGCACCCGCTCACCGCCTTCACTTGCCATTGGTTGTCGCCGAAGTCCGTCAGTCAAGCAGACACGCCCCCTTCCTCAACCTTCACCTCGCGCCTCGGAACTGCCCTAGAGGCCACACCTCACCCGGCTTCAGCCGCTTGGCCCTGCGATTGGCTGAGGGTGCTGGCATGCTTTTCCACCCCTGCCCCCTCCGGAGCCTTGAGAGGCGGGCGGGACCCCGCGGAAGTTGTCAGTCAAACTCCTCCCGCCCCCCGCCAGGCCTTTCCCGGGGTCGCGCGCCCTGGAGCGCGCGCGCACACGCACCCCCCACCCCCCGCTCCCGTACCAACCACCTTCTCAAGTTGTAGCGGCCGCTCGCCGGGGGCTCTCCGTGGGCGGCCGGCGGGCGCGCGGAGGCGGCGTTCGCACTGCGCGGCGCT